CGAGAATATCATCGCTTGCGGGTTGACATCGTCCCCCACTCCTGATGTCGAGGGTAAATGGGTGAGGTTTAGTACTGTGGCTCATGCAGCTGCAATGGCTGCTTTGGGTACGCGGTCCAGACCTCCCCAGAGACCCTGGCTGACAGAGGTGTTCAGGATAGTTGAGAAAAAGCGACAGGCCCACTCTCATCGGCTACAGCATCCCACGTCGGAGAATGAGGAGGCTTACCGCAGCCTTCACTCGGAGGTTCGGAGAGCCGTAAGGCGCTGCAAGGATGGGTTGTGGTCGCGGGTTGCTGAGGAGATGGAGTCTGCCTCAGTGGCCCGCGATCACAAATCACTATTGAACTCCATCAAAAAAGTAACCTGCAGCACCACACCTATTACCATCATTAGGGGAAAAAACGGCGATCCAATCTCCGACAGGTTTGCAGATTTGCTGAGCATTTCTGTGAGGTCCTTGGGGAGGGGACATCCCTCAGCCAGGAGAACATCATAGCACAAAGTGGGGATAACTCTGCTGAGGCTGCAGTGCCTCAAGTATTGGAAGAAGTCAACCCCTGTGAGTGGCTGGTTGAGGTGGCATCTGTTGATGAAGCACTGAAGGCGATCGGGATTCTGAGACCAGGAGAGGCACCGGGCAGAGATGATCTCGCAAGCGAAATGCTGAGGGAGGGTGGCGTTTGTGCACAGACTGCCTTATATGACATCATAATAACAGTCTGGACCACTGGACGGGTTCCGCAGGATTGAATGGATGCCCTGGTGGTCCCCCTCTTTAAAAAGGGGGACCTCACAGACTGTAACAACTACAGGGGAATCTCACTCCTCAGTGTGCCGGGAAAGGTCCTGGCAAGGATTATTCAACATCGCCTTGCTAGGCACGCTGAGGAGAGGCTTGCGGAGCCCCAATGCGGTTTCAGGAAAGGCCGGTTCTGCACAAATGCCATATTTTCTGTCCGTCTGCTACAGCAGAGGTGTAGGGAATTCCATCAAGACCTACATCTCTGCTTTATTCACCTGGTCAAGGCCTATGATACCATCAGTAGGCCTGGGCTCTGGGTTGTTCTTCGTGCTTTCGGAGTCCCTGACCCTCTGCTCACGATCATTAAGGACCTTCGTGATGGTGAGCAGGCCCGGGTAAAACTACGTGGCCGGAAGTCAGAGCCTTTCCCTGTACACCTTGGGGTGCGACAGGGATGTCCTCTGGCTCCCACATTATTTAACATCTATTTTGACCACGTAGTTCGTGAAGCCTTCAATAGCTATACCGGGGGAATTTCCATTTGGTACAGATATAATGGGAGGCTGATCGATGCCCGGGTGTGATCAAGGGATGGCTCCCTATTGATCAACCACGTTATGTATGCTGATGATTTGGTAATAGCTGTTCATTCAGAGGAGGAGTTGGAGATGCTGCAGCTGAGACTGGAGTGTGCCACAAAGAGGTGTCGCCTTACCATCAGCCCCACCAAAACTAAGCAGCTGCCTGGGTATTTTGTACCATCGGACACTCCACCCCCACAACTCCCAATCGGTGATGGGGCAGTAGTGGAGAGAATGGAGAGTTTCCCATACCTGAGCAGTGTGCTTATGACCGGCTCCAGTTTAACAGCAGAGGTGTCACTCCGAATCAGTCGAGCGGCTGTGTGGAAGCTACCTGGTCTGTCACTCCGCGCAAAGCTTCAGGTATTCTCGGCCACAGTCATTCCCTCCCTTGTCTACGCTTGCGAAACGTGGACCCTCCTAATGGAGCATCTTCGCCGGTTGGAAACATTTAGTCTGGCCTGCCTACGATCCATCCTGGGTTTAACCAGGCTGGATTGTGTAAGGAGCTCACAAATCCTTGAAAGTTCTGGGCAAAGTCCCATCAGTGAGCTCGTCCGGCAGGCAAGGCTGCGTTGGCTGGGTCATATAGCCCGCATGCCCAGCCACCGCATGCCTAAACAGCTTTTGTTTGGCCGGATCGAGGGGGTGATGTGGTACAGGAAGACGTGGAGCTGAGTGGACTTGCCGATGACCGGTACCAGCGGTGTAAAGATCGGCCTCTGTGGAGGAGGCTCGTGAAGGACTCTACTGGGCAGTTGGAGTCGCCCTCCAGCAACAACGGAGGGCGGAGGAGCAACGCTCACAACAACGAGCGGAGCGCCGGGTGGCTAAAGCACAGCAAGTTGGCACAGTAGGGGGCACAGGTGGTGCATCAGCCAGTCATCTCGGTCATCTCAGTCAGTCGACCCGTGACACCTGGGTCTGCCCCGTGACCTACCAGCGGGCGTTCGACACTTCACGTGGCCTCAAGGTGCACATGGCCTGACACAAGCGTCGTGCTGACATCGCCGCCACTTAGTGGCGAATGGCGGTTGTTGTGGTTGTTGTGTTGTGGTTGTGATGTGTTGGTGTTGTGGTGGTGGTGGTGGTTGTGTGGTGGTGGTGGTTGTTGTGGTGTGGTGGTGGTTGTGTTGTGGCGGTGTTGTGGTGGTGGTTGTGTTGTGGTTGTGTTGTGATGGAGGTGGTAGTGGTGATTGTGTTGTGGTGGTGCTGTGGTGGTTGTGTTGTGGTGGTGTTGTGGTGGTTGTGTTGTGGTTGTTGTTGTGGTGGTGGTACTGGTGATTGTGTTGTGGTGGTGTTGCGTTATGGTGGTGGTTGTGTTGTGATGGTGATGTTGTGGTGGTGTTGTGTTGTGGTGGAGGTGGTGGTGGTTGTGATGGTGGCGGTTGTTGTGTTGTGGTGGTGTTGTGTTGGTGTTGTGGTGGTGGTTGTGTGATGGTGGTGGTTGTTGTGGTGTGGTGGTTTTGTTGTGGTTGTGTTGTGGTGGTGGTTGTGTTTTGGTGGAGGTGGTAGTGGTGGTGTTGTGGTGGTGGTTGTGTTGTGGTGGTGATTGTGTGATGGTGGTGGTTGTTGTGTTGTGGTGTGGTGGTTGTGTTGTGGTGGTGTTGTGTTGGTGTTGTGGTGGTGGTTGTGTGATGTTGGTTGTTGTGTTGTGGTGTGGTGGTTTTGTTGTGGTGGTGGTTGTGTTGTGGTGGAGGTGGTAGTGGTGGTGTTGTGGTGGTCGTTGTGTTGTGGTGGTTGTGTTGTGGTGGTTGTATTGTGTTGTGGTGGTGTTGTGGTGGTGTTGTGGTGGTGTTGTGGTGGTGGTTGTGTTGTGGTGGTGGTGGTGGTTGTGTTGTGGTGGTTGTGTTGTGGTGGTGGTTGTGTTGTGGTGGTGTTGTGGTTGTGTTGTGGTGGAGGTGGTAGTGGTGGTGTTGTGGTGGTGGTGGTTGTTTTGTGGTTGTGTTGTGGTGGTTGTGTTGTGGTGGAGGTGGTAGTGGTGGTGTTGTGGTGGTGGTGGTGTTGTTGTGGTTGTGTTGTGGTGGTGGTTGTGTTGTGGTGGTGGTTGTGTTGTGGTGGTGGTTGTGTTGTGATGGTGGTTGTGTTGTGGTGGTTGTGTGGTGGTGGTTGTGTTGTGGTGGTGGTTATGTTGTGATGGTGGTGGTAGTGGTGGTTGTGTGGTGGTGGTTGTGTTGTGGTGGTGGTTGTGTTGTGATGGTGGTTGTGTTGTGGTAGTGGTTATGTTGTGATGGTGGTGGTGGTAGTGGTGGTTGTGTGGTGGTGGTTGTGTTGTGGTGGTGGTTGTGTTGTGATGGTGGTTGTGTTGTGGTGGTAGTGGTGGTTGCGTGGTGGTTGTGTTGTGGTGGTGGTTGTGTTGTGGTGGTGTTGTGGTGGAGTTGTGGTTGTGTTGTGTTGTGGTGGTGTGGTGGTGGTTGTGTTGTGGTGGAAGTGTTGTGGTGGTAGTGGTGGTTGTTGTGGTTGTTTTGTGGTGCTGTTGTGGTCATTGTATTCTTGTGGTTGTGTTGTGGTGCTTATGGTAATGGTTGTTGTGTTGTGGTGGTGGTGGTAGTGGTGGTTGTGTTGTGGTGGTATTGGTTGTGGTTTTTGTATTGGTAGTGGTGGTCGTGTTGTGGTGGTATTGGTTGTGGTGGTTGTGGTGTTGATATGGTTGTTGTAGTTGTGCTACACATCTCATTTATAACAAATGATGGCTCAACGAAAGTGGCTTATCACCTGGAATTGTATAGCACCCACAAACTTTAAAATGTTAACTACCTCGCCTTGTATGCAGGAGGTCGTGGGTTCGATCCCGACCCTGATGCCTGCTGTATATTTGGAGTTTTCACGTCACTCATCATCACTACGGTGGCTATGAGATGTTAACTATCTCGCCTGGTATGCAGGAAGGTCGTGGATTCGATCTCGACCTTGATGCCTTCTTCATTTTTGGAGTTTGCGGTGTCTCTCTCTCTCCGTGGTCCCGTGGATGTTTTCTCTGGGTTCTCCGGTTCTCCCCCCCTCTACATTTAGAAACAGGCATTGAGATTATTTAGATGATTTGCCGCTGTAATTGTCCACGTGATACGCCACTTTTTTATCTATAATTTGTGATAGCCAGGTCGCTTATACATCGGTGAGCTTCGCCTGGTAGGATTGGGATGGCTTAGTTTTATCTGTATGTGTGTGTGTGATTTGTTTCTCTTTATTGTACTGTGCGCTAATATCGTGTTCTTACCCCGTGCCCATACTGGACATCTGTGAAGAAGTGATTTACATCTCATCAGATTGCTCCTGCAGTATAAATACAACATTCTGATTCTGTTGTGATTGTTGTGGTGCTTGTGGTTGTTATTGTGGTGCTGGTTGTCGTGGTGGTTGCTGTGGTTGTCGGTAGTTGTAGTGGTTGTGGTGGTTGCGGTTGTTGTGGTGGTTGTAGTAGTTGTGTTGTGGTATTAGTGGTTGTCGTGGTGGTTGCTGTGGTTGTCGGTAGTTGTAGTGGTTGTGGTGGTTGCGGTTGTTGTGGTGGTTGTAGTAGTTGTGTTGTGGTATTAGTGGTTGTTGTGGTTGTTTTGGTGGTTGTCTACCCAGCTGAAGCCTCGCCGTCCAGGCTGTGACAGCGACTCGCTAGAGCGTGGGGCTTCTCCGCCGCTCTTCACTGATGGCGATTCTCTCTCTGTCTCATTTGTCCTCAGCCTGGCTCATTGCTTCACCTCACTGAGGGGACGACACTCGGCCGAGTCCTTCGCTACTTTCCTGTCCCTTCGCTGTGTCGTCGTTCTACACTGGTCCGTCTATAAATCATCCGTCCTGGTTGCCACGGGATGTTGTGCCAAACCTTCAATATGTTACTTGGATTTACGTTATACAGTTGTTTTTCCCATAATTGCTTTCTCCTTTTGTAACGATATCGATTGAGGAGCACAGCTGTGGATCAGGTGTCTCGAGTGTAACTTACGTCAGCGTTTCATGTCTGGCCTACTACTACTCTGTGCAGGGCTGGCTATTTACTTTGGATGAATTATCCTCGTTCACTTTGTCTCAAGCCTGCTGTACCTCACCGGTGAGATCCTCACTTTCAGGACTATCCTTGACAAATCTTTGCAACAGTGGGGGGCGGTGTTGCCACTGCGTTTGTTATAATTCACTTGGGTAGTTTGCAGGCAACTACATTTTCAGCATACAGATGCTATTTCAATTGCATTTGGGTTTTTTTTGCATGCATTTTTTTAATGGACGGAAACCCGCAAACTCTGCGCAGAAAAGTTCGGGCAGAAAGGTTCAGGCAGAAGAGTAATTCCTGTGTGAAGCCCATTGAGCTAAAAAGCTCCTTTTCAAGGGCAACTCGGTCGACAGACAACATCAAAACATTACACATTAGCACCCACTCACTTAATCACTGACTCACCTACTCACCCACTCACCCACTCACCCATTCACTTACCCACCCACTCATCCACCCACTCATCCACCTGCTCACTCACTCACCCATCCACTTGCCCGAACAGTTTGTTAAGGCTATACGGGGGGGACTTTGTCATTGTGTATATATTATTTCTAATGTGTATGTGACTGAGCGAGAAGGACATCCAGCCCGTCAATACAAAGACATCAAACCTAATAATGCAACTCAGAGAGTCAGCTAAAATCGCAGGAAGGATGGAATGTATTGACGTGCTGGATGTCCTTCTTGCTCAGTCACCGATGCTGCGACATACTAGGCAAGTCACCGTACATTGACATGCTAATCTCTCACAATACAATGGCCACTTCCACAGCCTTAGGGAGACCATCTCTAGCCCCGCCCTCTTACCCTGAGGCTTCACCCATCTCAGGCCTATATAATAGACCTTGTTTCAGTAGCTTCTCTCTCTCACCTGAAGATGGTCACTTGTGTTGCGATCGAAACGTCGTGATCTATTAATTTTCTATCTACGTGACTTTACCGAAAGAACCAAAGATTATGGATTCCTGCAGTCACGAAAGCTTCAAATCAAGATTGTGTGTAATGTGGATGTGTATCAATGGGAGGTTGTGGAGACAGTGTAGAAGTTTCCGTACTTGGGTGGCATGATTTTGACCAGCTCCGGTTTGCAATTTGAGGTCTCAAGCCGAATCAATTGAGTGGCATTATTTTTTCATCAGCTGCACAACGCTGTGTGGAAGCTACCTGGTCTTTCACTCCATACATAGTTTGAGGTATTTTTGACCACAGTATGCCCTCCCTTATCTATGGTTGCAAAACGGGGAGCCCTCTAACTGAACATCTGTGACAATTTGTACTTTTCAGGCTAGCCTGCCTATGATCCATCCTGGGTTTAACCACAATGATTCATGTGAGGGGTTCAGGGATCATTGAAATATCTGGACACAGTCGCATCAGTTTTGGTGAGATGTTAACTACATCGCCTGGTATACAGAAGGTTGTAGGTTCAATACCTGCCTTGATACCTATATATTTGAAGTTGGTTTTGTTGTCCCCGTGGTCAAGTGGATTTTAATCCGGTCCTACAGTTTTTCCATCCACATTTAGAAACGTGCGTTCAAAGTATTTGGCTGCTATACATTTCCACATCATTGTAAGCCGCTTCGTTGAGATATTATTTATGGCCAGGTCGCTTGTTAAAAAAAGCTACGTATCTCAGCGGATCTTACCTGGTAAAATATTAATAGTTTGTAGTTTTAAAAAGTAATAATTGAGCTCCTCCGGAAAGCGAGTCTGCATTGGCTGGGTCATGTAGCCCGCATGCCCAGCCACCGCATGCCCCCAAGCAGCTTATGTTTGGCTGGGTGTACTGCATCTAAGTGTATATTGTCTGTGTATATTGTGTTTAATGTGTGTATATATCTGCTGGGTGTACTGTGTGTGGGTGTGTAATGCGTATGCATATTGCGTATATTGCGTGTAATGTGTAGGTGTTGTATAATGTGTATGTATCATGTATATTTCGTGTAATGTGTGTGTATATGTAAAGTAGTAACTCGGCAGGAGACGACTTCACGGGTAGCACACTCTTTATTTTCACCAACTTGTAGTTACACGGATGACTAACACCCTACTTCGTTACACGGGTGACCAACACCCACTTAGCTACACGGGTGACGGACACCCACTCAACTACAACTTCGTTACACGGGTGACCAACACCCACTTAGCTACACGGGTGACCAACACCCACTCAGCTACACGGGTGACCAACACCCACTCAGCTACACGGGTGACTAACACCCACTCAGCTACACGGGTGACCAACACCCACTCAGCTACACGGGTGACTAACACCCACTCAGCTACACGGGTGACCAACACCCACTCAGCTGTACTGACACGGGCTCTTACGCCCTGTAGCCTTCCGGGACACACCCAGCCGGGGTGCCCGTCTCGGCTCTGGGTACCACCGTCCCGACCCACACGGGCGTCGGACTACGGTCCCCCCAGTCTCGGCTCCGAGCCACACAGGGCCCCTACCTCCTCCACCCCGTCTTCGGTCTTCAACTGGTTAACACTGACCACGAGTGCTCTCGCGCGTCCCCCTTTATACCCCTCCTGCGGACGTCGCTGAGAGTACTCACTTATCTGACCAATCACTGCGCACTCGCTACGATCCTCTTTTCCCAGCTTGTGTGAGCGCGCCTCACCACCGGCGCGCGCGTCCCTGCCACGCCCACACCGCGTGCCCAACCCCGCGCCCCGTGATCCATCACTCCCGGCGCACGTCAATACCACCACTACATCACCCCCTACCACATAGCTCGCAGCCGACCCGGCTGCTAATAAAACATACAACACCCCTTCACCCCCACGTGTGCCCCGTAACATAACACAAACCCTAACAACACAACATGAACACCGCAATCCGCAAAACCCAGCAACCGCCACACCCGCAACAAGAACAACATGCACAATCCGGCGAATGGCAACGATACTGTGTATGCGGAAAGAGTAACAATAAAAAAAAAATTTCTTTAATCATTTTCTCTTCTTTTCTCTCCGACTCATGCAGCGTCCCGATGTCCGAGCGTCCCTTGAACGGGACATTACCCTGGCAGAGGGGGAAGCCGGCAACGAAGTCGGGCTTTAACAAAAAAAGAAATTTTTTTTTTTTTTTTTTCATGAAAAGTGTTGCGTCCTTGACCGAGTCCGCCTTGCCGGACCGTCGTACGGCACAGTACGCAGTTGGCCATCCGGCGGCGCCGGCAGTTCAGGAAGGCATGGGCCAGGCATCGGGGCTCCGTGCGAGCCGCGGGGTTCCGGTTCCCGACGGTCAACAGCCGTCAGGTCCGAGACACCTGGGGGTGGGTCAGGTGGAGACACGTGAGGATCAGCCTGCGACACATCCCTCCCCGAGTCGACGGTCACATCACACGCTCGGTCGTCACGGCACAACCCGGGGTCACGTGGTGCCGCGTAGGGTTTCAGTCGGGAGGAGTGCACGTACCAACGGCGTTTTCCCCATTTAATCTGTATACTCTGGGGTCGTGCAACCCGCACAATTTCCACCGGTCCCCTCCATGGTCTCAACAGTTTGGGGGACGTAGCCAACGGTGCGTGTGGACAATGCAGCCAGGCCTTATCGCCCGGTTCCCAATTGTGCGTATGCACCTTCCGTTCACGCAATCGCTCGTTCGCGATCTGCCGAGAGCGTGAATTCAACCTCGCAGCCTCCCGCGCCTCAGCCAATTTGGCGATGTTAAACTTAATGTGGTCTGCCAATTTTGATTTCGCACGTGGCTGTGAAATCCCCAGTTGGACGTCCATGGCCGGATCAGCCTCCCGCCCATACATCAGAAAAAATGGAGAAAACCCCGTCGCCGCATGGGGTGCCATCCGATAGGCCGCTAGTACCCCCGGTACCTGTAAGTCCCAATCCACCTGGTCGTCGCATACCTGTTGGCACAGCATAGACGTAATCGTCCTGTTCAGACGTTCAACCATACCGTCAGTCTGCGGGTGGTACGGGGAGGTACGTACTTTCTTTGTACCCAACAGGTCGCACACCTCGCGCAACAAAACACTCGAAAAGTTTTTCCCTTGATCCGTCAGCAAGCGTTCGGGGGCGCCTTTGTCCAAAACGTAACCTTGGACAAAGGCGTCCGCCACCGCCGCAGCCGACTGGTTGGCGAGTGGCCACGCCATGGGCCAGCGGGTGAAGTACTCTACGCCAACCAGCAGGAACTTATTTCCCCGAGGTGTAGTGGGAAAGGGCCCCAAGATGTCTAGCGCGACCAATTCGTTCGTGCGCGAAACTTGAATGGATTGAAGCGGTGGATTAGCCGCTATTTGTGGCGGTTTTCTTTTAGCGCACCCTACACACCCCTTAAGAATGTTCGCCACGTCACTGCCCATCCCAGGCCAATAGTAGTCTCGCTGAATGAGGGCGAGCGTTTTATGAAACCCCAGATGCATGAGTCGTTCATGGGCAGCCAGGACGACCTTACCCCGTACAGCAACCGGCACCACAAGCATGTGACGCCGGGACATGGAGTCCCACTTCATCAAGAGGCCCTGTCTGCACACCCAGGAACCGACCCGCGTTTCCCCGCCCTCGGGAACGTTAACCTTCCGACGTAGCGCGAGTAGGGAGCTGTCGGCCATTTGCAGACGGCCCCACTCGATGAGAGGCAATGCTAACAGCGAGTCCCTCCCCGTGGGGGCGTCGACCCCCGTAGTATCCGTGGCGGCTAGCACTACTTCCGCGGGGACATCGACAGAAGGTTTACACCGCGCCGATCCCAACTGACATGCGCATTCCGTACGCGTCGGCAACCGTGACAATGCATCCGCGTTCGAGTGGCGCAACCCCTTGCGGTAAATCGTCGTGAATTGGTAGTCCTGAAGGACCTCCAACCATCGGGACAATTGGCCCGATGGCTGCGCCACCCGCATAGCGTATTGGAGAGCCGCATGGTCCGTGCGAACCGTAAAGTGACGGCCATACAGATACGGCCTGAATTGCTGTATAAAAAACACAATCGCCAGCAATTCACGCCGTGTCACGCAGTAGCGTTGTTCCGCGGGGGACAGAACCCTGCTACCGTAGGCGACCACCCGTTCGACCCCCCCGACCACCTGTGAGAGCACTCCCCCGATACCCGTGTTACTGGCATCCGTGTCGAGCACAAACGGTTGCGTGAAATCGGGGTAACACAAGGGGGGAGCCTGCACCAAGGCGTCACGAAGGGAGCAGAACGCGGCCTCCTCCTCCGGCCCCCAGTGAAACCGCACCCCTTTAGCCGTCAAGGCGTGCAGGGGCCTGGCTATGGTGGCAAACTGTTTGACAAAACGACGGTAATAGGAGGCAAATCCTATGAAGCTGCGGACTTCAGTAACAGAGGTCGGTGTTGGCCATGAGCCGACGCATTGCGTCTTAGCAGGGTCCGTCGAGATCCCCGAACGGCTAACGATATGGCCCAAATACCTGACCGATTCCCGAAGCAGAAAGCATTTAGCCGGTTTAAATTTAAGCTTCGCGGAACGCATCCTGAGAAACACTGCCCTCAGTCGCTGGAGGTGCTCCTCAAAAGTTCGGCTGAAAACGATGATATCATCGAGGTAAATCAAACAGGTGTCCCATTGAAGGCCTGCCAAAACCAATTCCATGAGCCTCTGGAACGTGGCAGGAGCGGAATGTAAACCCATGGGCAATCGGTTGAACTCAAATAGGCCTCCCGGTGTCCGGAAAGCGGTTTTAGGTTTTGATTCGTCATCGAGGGGCAATTGCCAAAATCCCGAAAGCAAATCGAGCGTCGAAAAAAACTGTGCTCCTGCCAAGGCATCCAGCGACTCATCCATCCTGGGGAGCGGATACGCATCGGCCATTGATATTTTGTTTAGGCGGCGGAAATCAACACAGAACCGCAGGGATCCATCCTGTTTTTTAACCAAGACGATAGGAGCACCCCACGGACTGGAAGAGGGCGCAATGATGTCGGCCGCCAACATGTCATTTACTGCCGACTGCACATGCTCCTTCTCGGCTGGACTGAGCCGGAAGGGATTCTGTCGAATAGGGGCCGCGTCCCCAGTCTCTATGTGGTGGCGCAACAGGTCTGTGCAGCCAATGTCGTACTTGTGCCTGCTAAACACGTCAGCGAACTCGAGCAGCAAGCCCCTCAATGCACCCAACTGCACACTGGACAAGGTACTGGACCCGGCACACAACGCGTCCAACCACTCCGTCCCCTCCTCACTTTGGGGATGCGTATCGACATGTGAATCGGCGTGAGCAACGAGCTGTTCCTCGACGGGTAGCGGCGCGGCGTGAGCGAGCACCGTTCCCTGCGTAATCACGGCCAGCCGCGACCCAGGATTCAGGACCACAACGAACGGCTCACTGTCCCCCCTCACCATGGTCTGGGCCACCGCTAAGCCGAGGTCCCCTTTAGCCCTGTTAGACGGCCCCAATAGAACTCCCTGCGCCCCCGCATCCGCCCCCAGTTGTTTTCTCAACCGAAGGGGTACCAACATTTGCGATCCCGGGGGCACCCGTACAGTCCGGGTTGCCAGCGCCTGCACCGTCGCACAAGCCGTGCGTATCTTATTTGGACTCTTCAAAAACTCAACCCGCCGACCCGACGGAAGCTCAATGCAGGCCTGGTCTATGAGAATTTTTATGGGCATTTTAGACAGAAAGTCCGTGCCTAGTAAACAAGGAACGGCCAACGATGATGATACAAAAATAGGACCCGCCAATTTAATGTCGCCAATACAAATATTCGCCCGAATCTGGCCGATGATTCCCAAAGATCCCCCGTTTGCCGCGTAAAATGGTACGTCCACCGGCAGAAGTGGTCGACATTGTACGGGAAGAATATTATAAATAAGGTCCGAAATAATAGTGGCCGACGCACCCGTGTCCACGAGCACCCGGACCTCAACCCCGTCAATGTACCCCGTTACCACGGACGACCCGGCCGACGCAGCCACAATCCTGTGGGCCAATTCGGACCACTCGACTGCCTTCGGGCCGTACGCGGACCCCTCTCGCCGAACCGAACCCCCGGCGCCCATACACGGTCCCCCCACCGCTAAGCGGCGATCCGAACGTGCCGTGCGTGTGGACCGAGCGTGTGAGGTGCCGCGACTTGCCGGGTTCAGTTGGGATGTCTTGAGTCCCTGGTCGTCGTCCGGACGTGGTCCCGCGGTGCGTTGACGCGGGGCCCGGCACCCGGCCGCGACGTGGCCCCGAAGGCCGCAGTTGTAGCAGACGACGAGGGACGTCGTAGGTTTCGGTTGCTCCAGCTTGCGGGAGGAGCGTGTGGGCGAACGACCTCCCGGTCTCCACTCCCCCGGCCTCGAACCCGCGAAGGCCTCCTCCCGAGGCACAGCAGGCTGGGGTCCGCTGATCGTGGCGGCCGGTGCCCCGTTCTCCACCGATGCGCAGACGACCGTCGGCTTCCGCTGTAGGACCTCGTAAGCGTGGATACTCGTGGCAATCCCCAGGGAGCAGATGTCCATCTCGTCCGCCGCATTAATGGGAACTCCCAATCCGTGGGCCAGCGCCAGCAGCTGCTCCGTCACCATGGCGTCCTTTCCCTCCTTGTCCATGCGGGGAAAAGCTGAATCCGCCAGGGCGAGCAGCGCCGTGCGATAGGCGAGCGTTGTTTCTCCAACCACCTTCCGCCGATCGTAGAACTGGTGGCGACAGGTCGAGGGCGGCCCGAACACCTTGGCCAACAGGTGCAGCGCGGCCTGGAGCGTTGAGCGGGACGACCTCGGGGCAGACGTGAAGGCCGCAAGCGCGTCGTCGTCGAGCATCGCTGGCAGCGCGCGCAGGGCCGTGGTGTCGGACCACCCCGACATTTCTTGATGCGCGATGAACCGTCGCTGGAAGGCTCCCCAGTCGCCCCCGTCCGCCTTGAACACCGACAGCGCGGGCAATCGTTGCTGGAGAACTCGATCGTCGTCGTCGTCGTTGGAACGATTTTCCCGCGCGCTGCTGTGGTTGTAGAAAATGTCGGCTCCCTCTGCAGGCGCAAAATGGAGAGCTCCGGCGCTCGCCGATGACGCGGGCTGCGCTGTGTGGAGACCTCTGGCCACGTGGTGTCCGCGTTTCCCGCCAACCGGAGGCGGACCCTCAAAAATGGCGCCAACTCCCAAACTTTTGGCGCGAAACGCCTTATGGCGGGAACCCTCCAGCCGCGCCGCCTCTTCCAACCCCGCAGGCGTTCCACCGGCCGCTGGAACGGAGATCTCCGCCAAGATCGCAGCGGCGGCGAGCAGCAACTCCGCCAGGCGGGAGTGTGCGTCCTGCAGGCTGGTGTCGGAGGCGGGCGGAGCATCGGCCATTTCCGCGAAGTGCTGCATCGGCGGCAACTCCTCGTCTTCTCCTCCCGAGGGTGGTGTCACCGGTACGTCGTCGTCTCCCCGGTCTTGCACGTGGGAACGAGAAGTCTTCCTTGTGTCCATTCTCCTTGAAGACAGGTTTACTTCTGACGCCAGTTGTAAAGTAGTAACTCGGCAGGAGACGACTTCACGGGTAGCACACTCTTTATTTTCACCAACTTGTAGTTACACGGATGACTAACACCCTACTTCGTTACACGGGTGACCAACACCCACTTAGCTACACGGGTGACGGACACCCACTCAACTACAACTTCGTTACACGGGTGACCAACACCCACTTAGCTACACGGGTGACCAACACCCACTCAGCTACACGGGTGACCAACACCCACTCAGCTACACGGGTGACTAACACCCACTCAGCTACACGGGTGACCAACACCCACTCAGCTACACGGGTGACTAACACCCACTCAGCTACACGGGTGACCAACACCCACTCAGCTGTACTGACACGGGCTCTTACGCCCTGTAGCCTTCCGGGACACACCCAGCCGGGGTGCCCGTCTCGGCTCTGGGTACCACCGTCCCGACCCACACGGGCGTCGGACTACGGTCCCCCCAGTCTCGGCTCCGAGCCACACAGGGCCCCTACCTCCTCCACCCCGTCTTCGGTCTTCAACTGGTTAACACTGACCACGAGTGCTCTCGCGCGTCCCCCTTTATACCCCTCCTGCGGACGTCGCTGAGAGTACTCACTTATCTGACCAATCACTGCGCACTCGCTACGATCCTCTTTTCCCAGCTTGTGTGAGCGCGCCTCACCACCGGCGCGCGCGTCCCTGCCACGCCCACACCGCGTGCCCAACCCCGCGCCCCGTGATCCATCACTCCCGGCGCACGTCAATACCACCACTACATATAAATTGTGTGTAATGTGTAGGTTGAATGACATGGAGCAGAGATGCAAGAGACAGCCCGGTGCTAGAAGGCACCAATGCGAGCAGTTTACATACGGCACGGACCACACTGGACACATGAATCTGCACCAGAATTTACACATGGCCAAGAAGCCCTTCAAGTGCACTCTATGTGAGAAGACATTTAAACGGTCATCACACCTTAAAATTCACCAGAGAACACACACAGGCGAGAAGCCTTTTAAATGCACTGTGTGTGGAAAGGCATTTGCTGATTCAGGAAATGTTTTGCAACATCAGAGGACACACTCAAGCGATAAGCCCTTCAAGTGCACTTTGTGTGAGAAGACATTTAGACAGTCATCACAACTTCAAATTCACCAGAGAACGCACACAGACGTGAAGCCCTTCAGGTGCACTGTGTGTCAGAAGGCATTTCGACGGTTATCCCAACTTCAAAGTCACCAGAGAACACACACAGGCGAGAAGCCTTTCAAGTGCACTGTGTGTGGAAAGGCATTTGCAGATTCAGGAAATGTTTCGCAACATCAGAGAACACACTCATGTGATAAGCCCTTCAAGTGCACTTCATGTGAGAAGGCATTTAAACGGTCATCACATCTTAAAATTCACCAGAGAACACACACAGGCGATAAGCCCTTCAAGTGCACTGTGTGTGGTAAAACGTTTACACAGTCAAGATCTCTGAACGTTCACCAGAGACAACACACAAGCGAGATGCCCTTTAAGTGCACGGTGTGTGGGAAGACATTTGCAGGGTCAGACAACCGAAATAGGCATGAGAAGATCCACAAGGAGATGGAGGTGGAATCAAAAAGTGAAAGTGCTGTATTGAGCCCATTTTGCATGCAACAAGAAGCAGAAGACAACCCCAGTTTAGCAACGTGGCCAGCAGTGAAGGTGGATCATGAAGAAGTGAAGTGGGAATGTGAAGAATTGAAGGCGGAATGTGGAGAGGTGAAGTTGGAATGTGAAGATGTTAAGGTGGAATGTGAAGAAGTGAACGTAAAATATGAAGATGACTCAACTCCAGGACCCGACCTCCAGGTGGATGGAGGCAGCGTGAAGCAGGAGGAGAATTTGGACTCTGAGGGATGTAGAGGTGACCCCCAGGAGTTTGTGGATGTAGAGGTGTGGGTGCAGTTTTTGGGGGAGCGATCGTGTAGTGGTTAGCGCGATGTTCTGCGAGCCCTGCAACTGGAGTTTGACTCCCGTCCATGGTCAACATCGGCTATGATTATCTGACTCGGTCCTGGACCTCCTCTAGGTCAACTCAGCCTTAAATAAGTACCTGTTGCGGAGTGTAAACTTTTCCACCGGGGAGACAAAGGTGGTCAGGTGTGGTGCTGGCCACCCACCTCCTTGTGTACTGTGCCGGCCTTCATAGGTGCTCGCTTACAGCATTTGCTTGAAAAGTCTGTTTAGGCTATGAAGGACATATTTTTCTTCGAAGTTTTTGGACAAAGCAGTATAGGATGGCCCTGCACGTGTGGAGTTTGGGAAGGTCTTTAACCAGGAGCAGGACACAAATAATTCCCATAGCAGTCACCTTATTCACAGGTGTTTCCAGTGACAACAATGCATGCAGCTGTCGGCGTCATCCAACCAGTAATGATTTTTTTAATCCTTTATATTAAGTTCACTTGCTTGCTTGCTTGCGCGCTTACGACCGTGCAAATCTTTCGGTCGTTTTTTAACCCACTTCCCGTGATCCAATCGAGCTGACATTTTGCACACAGACTCGTTGTGCGTGACAATTTATTTTCGTGAAAATTTTTTCTCCTAAATTTTACACTTTTTAGGAATTTTTTTTCATATTTAATTTAAAATACCAATGTGATACAAATGAAACTCTTACTCAAGAAAAACAGAAATGAATAATAAAATAAAACCGATGCCACGCATATAAAGGATTTATAGTGAAAAACTTTGTTTTTACGGGTTAATTTTTTATTTAATGTAGGTGCCCTAAAGTCTTTGAAACCAGCTAAGAAGTTTCGTCTTTTGGCATCTCCATTCAGCCATCTTAGATCCTCATTCAAATTCTCTTAATTAAAATCACTAATGTTGAGGTGTGAATATAAGTTTACAACATAATTGCTATTATTATGTTTCTTTGTTTTAACTGCAATTGTGTGGAATGCTTTGATATCTGCCAGGCTGAGTCGCCCTTGAAAAACATTTTCTGCTCAATGAACCTTTCTTGGGAAATACACTTCTGGTTCTTATGATTTCGTAAATGTGATGGCTTAAAACAAATGTCTAGCATCATGAACGGATGATTATGCATTAACCGATTGTGAGTCTCTAACAATGTGCGTGTATAAGGGTCACGTTTAGAATATGGGATCTTTGGTACAGATCGATGGTGTGGTATGAATATGAGCAATGCCTTCTTGTATTCATGTGACTGCGGATGTTTGTGGGACGCAAAGTATCAGCTTAGATGTGTCATCTGCATCTCAAACAAATAATTGTTTCTCTTTGAAATAAATAACCCAATGGAACCCATCATTGATTTAAAGGTTGCATGCATCTAAACACCACTCTAAGTAAAAGTTCAACAGAAAGGAAAGCGTACAGCAATCCCTAACACTCTCGAGTTGAGTTAACTTGGTTTTGTGGTTTCGCGCAAATTCTATTGAGGTGCCAAGTTTGCCGATCGCTCACGACTATGGCTCACCCGTTCGTGGTTGACAGCGAGATTCCTGTACAGAACGCGTAACGACTGCACTGCTCGCGATGACGCTGCTGCTGCTGCCGTGGCAAAACACGTGGCGCCATCTTGTCGCCCTGTCTCCCAAGCGTCCCATCGTTAGTTGGTCCCATGTCACGTGTTGTTCCCAGCCACCAGTGAGGTTCGGCCGCCTGTGATATTTCTTCCTGTACGTGTCCAGTAAGTGTACACTGCAGGAAAATACGTGTCCGGTTTTGTGTATATGTGCACTCTTTTGTGTATGTACACTGCTGTGTGTGGATATTCGTGTATGCCCACTCGTGTGTGCTTTAACACTGTGAACTCTACCACTATTAGCTATAACCTATACACTAAAACACTATCAACGAGTTACACCATGAATAGATCCACCATAAACAAAGGTGTGGGATTACAATCTCATTAGAATTATTAGAATCCAATTGCTGTCGTATTAGAATCACACTACTCGTATGTGTAGTGGTGTAAACTCACACGGATACGAGATTCTCTGTAAGGGCTGTTGCCAGTTTATTGACTATTACACTTACGTACAGAATCACCGGATCACACCAGAGGTAGGTACTTGGTCCTTCCCGTGGACCGTCCTGGTACCCGCTTAACTCCTCGGCCTATCCTGACCCCCACTAAATCCCACTCCGACTCCGGGCAAGGGTCTTGGTGCCGAGTGGCGTGTCTTCCGTTCCCTCAAGAGTCCTCCGTTCCCTCGGCTCCCCAAAACGACCCCGTCCCTCTCCCCAGCTCTTTCCTGCTGATGCCCTCACTTCCACTACTCTACATCACCCCCCCCTCCCCCCCCCCCCCCCATAAAAACAGCCGTCCCGGCTGATAACACAACTTTAGGCCTGGCAGACAACCCGCAACGCCAGCACCCCGCAATTTGTAATTATGACCAACAAGAGAAGGAGGTCCGGGGTGCCAAGGGGGAGGTGATGTCTGAGATGGGGAACAACACTGAAGACAGGCAGGATGGCGGGGCGGTAAGGCCCCCTCCCCAGGGCGGCTGGCGAAACGATGTCCGTGATTACTGGCGGCCGGCCGGATGGCCTCTGGCGGTCAGCGAAACCGATCGGCCCTGGAGCGCGTGTGCGCTGCAGGTCCGCTACCATGGGCGGCGTCCAGTATCGAGTGTGGCGAGGCATCTGCTGATGCAGGTCCCGTTGTCGTGGGCCCCATGCATGGGACAGCAGGACCGACTTGGAGAGGTTCTGTGGGCGTACAGGCAGGTGGATTATTTTGCATAGCGTCCTGGGCCAGGCGACCCGGCTCGTCAGACGCATCACAAACCGGCCGCTCCGTAAGTGGGGATGGCCTAACTGAACGAGGTGGCACATACCTCTTTAACCTAGAGGGGTGGACTATCCATTGGCGGTGACCGTATCGAATGCGCACACACTGTGGCTTGCGGGCCTCAATGATGTCAACGGGACCTTGCCAAGGGCAGTGAAATGTAGGCAATGTACCGACGGGCACTTGCGGGCAATAGAACCAAGCCTTGTCCCCTGTGACCCATGGAACCCCTGAAGCCTGATGCCTTGGTAGGCGTTCGTTAGCCGCTTGGCGACTGGCCGAATTGTTAATGGCCGCCTGTCGAGCATCGTGCATTCTGTTGAGCGTGGCTCTCATTAACGCCGGCACGGCGGATTTCTTAAGAGGCGGCTGCAGACCCAATTGCACCTGCATAGGGGGCTTCGGTTCTCTCCTGTACATCAGGTAAAAGGGTGAAACCCCGTTGAGGCATGAGGAGCCAGCCTATACACGGCAAGGACGCCCGGAATCAGCAAGTCCCAGTCTGACTGAGACTCGTTGACATGGTGGCACAGCATGGACGTGAGAGTGCAGTTGAGACACTCAACCATCCCGTCTGTCTGAGGGTGGTAGGGCGAGGTTCGAACCTTCTTGGTGCCCAGGAGATCACAGACCTCTTTGAGCAGCCTTGAAGAAAAATTTCGACCTTGGTCGGTCAACAGCCACTTTGATAGATGTGGCCGATTGGTCTGGCAAGGGCCATGCCATGGGCCAACGTGTAAGGTATTCGACCCACACCAGAAGATACATATGGCCCCTTCCGGAAGTTGGAAAGGGTCCCAAAATATCGAGGGCCACTTGTTCGTTAACGCGCGAAACTTGGATTGACTAGTGGGGGTCGGTCCCGCGCAACTGGGGCCTTCCGGCACGCACAGTCATGACTTCCTTTTACAAATAGGGAAACGTCCCCTTCCATGCCTGGCCAATAGTGGTCGTGCTTGAGGGTCAACATGTTTTGTGGACCCCCAGGTGCATCAACTTTTCATGAACCAACCTCGTTAATCTCCCTCATAGAACAACAGGAACCACCAGACAATATTTATCGAGCTCAGGGTCCCTGCGCATGAGTAGGCCGTCGTGTAGGGCAATTGGCGGAGTGGTCGGCTGAGAGGGGGTTTGGCCGTCAGGCCTAACCCGGTGTCGCAGCTTGAGCAGAGAGGTATCCTGCATCCGCAAGCGTGACCACTCCTCTCTTAGGATTCCTAAGCCGAAGTCGATGGGCAGGACTTCGGTCGTCGCTACCAACTGCGCCCCGACGCTACTCATATCCCTACAGCGACTCGATCCCGTTGAGCACGCACACCCCTTCTCCTGAGGCTGCCTAGAGAGGCCATCGGCATTTTCGTACTGAGTACCCTTCCTGTGTATGACCTCGAATGAGTACTCTTGGAGCTGGCCCAAAGGCTGATAAATGTGCAATGAATATTGTAGTGGCGCATGGTAAGTACGAATGGTAAAGCGTCGACCGTATAAGTAGGGTCTATACAGTGGCACAAAAAAAAAACAATGGCCAACAGCTCTCTGCGGGTGACGCAATACCGCTGCTCGGTGGGTGACAATACTCGACTCCCAAATGCCACGACTCGCTCAACACCATCCACCACTTGGGACAACACCGCCCCTATGGCCGTGTCGCTGGCATCGGTGTCGAGCACAGAGGGCCGTGAGAAGTCTGGATATCCCAAGGCGGGCACATCTGCCAGGGATGGCCGGAGCGCGACAAAGGCCTCTTCCTTCTCCGTGCCTCAGCAAAACTTGTCCCTTTGCGGTGAGCGCATGGAGAGGCTTTGTGACTGTCGCAAAGTTGCGCACAAAGCGACGGTAGTAAGATGCGAAGCCAACAAAGCTTCGAACCTCAGCGACAGATGTAGGGGTCGGCCACGTATGGACGCACGACGTTTTCTCTGGGTCCGTGGCCACACCTGACGTGCTAACAATATGGCCTAGATACTTAACGGAGGGGTGCAGCAAATGGCATTTCTGGGGTTTGAATTTCAACCCAGCAGCACACACTTTTGTAAAGACTGATTCCAGCCGCAGCAAGTGTTTGTCAAACGTATGGCTGAAAACAATGACGTCGTCTAAATAAATCAAACAAGATTCCCACTGGAGACCTGCCAAAACCATCTCCATAAGACGTTGGAACGTGGCAGGGGCCGCATGGGGGCCCATAGGAAGCCTATTAAAATGGAACAACCCCTGAGGTGTGCGGAATGCAGTTTTGGGTTTGGATACCTCGTCCAATGGCAATTGCCAAAAGCCCGAAAGCAAATCCAGGGTCGAAAAGAACCGCACGCCTGAGAGGGCATCAAGCGAATCATCCATCCGAGGCAGGGGATAGGCATCTGCCACGGAAATCTTGTTTAACTTACGGAAATCAACGCAGAAACGAGACTCCCATCCCGTTTCTTGACCAGAACGATAGGGGCTCCCCACGGGCTATTGGAAGGGGAGATAATGTCCACCGCCAACATGTCATCCACGGCTGAGTGGACATGCTCCTTCTCCCTTGGGCTAAAGCAATGGGCATTTAAGCAAATGGGTGCCACATTCTCCATCTCTATGTGATGTTCTAGCAAGGACGTGCGGCCGATGTCGAATTTGCCGTGACTAAACACGTCGGTGAATTTGTTGATGAGTGTTCGAAGCTGGCGCCGCTCTGGGGACAGGAGAACGTTTTCATGACAGAGTGCATCCACCTAGGACGTGTCGTATTTTCCCTCAGGCAGCACAGCCACTGCCCACCCCCCCTCCAGCGTGGCCTTGACCGGTGGGAGGGCCGGGGACGCGTTTGCCACAATGATGCCCGCCGGGACTGTTACCTGCGAGGGCCCTGCATTGAGAATTTGTAGGAATGGCTCTTGATTTTCTGCCACAACCATAAGGGCACCCAACAAGGGAGGGTGTTTGTGAGAAATAGTTGGAGGGCGTTAAGAGGATGCCTGCCTCCAGAGTCAGAAATTGTAAGTTCCCACGCAGCCTCAAGGGTATGAGCATCTGTGATCACGGCGGGATAGTCAAGGAATCCCTAGCGAAAGCACGAACACTAGTGACACTATGCTTAATTTAGAGCTTTCGTGACTGCAGGAATTACTCTTTGGTTCTTTCGGTAAAGTCACATATAAGAAGAAAATAATAATAATAAATTAAATACTAGCATACGACGTTTCGATTGCAACACAAGCAATCATCATCAGGTATAAATGAAATAGAAACACAAATCTAGTATACTTAGAAATGTAATGTAATACAACAGAGAGTCGGATAACATAACAGTCATCACCTTACCTGGTTGATTACGTTCTTCCTGAGAATGCTAAATTTGAGAGAGAGATAAAACACAGAACCAGAGACATATAGACAGACATATAAATAGAGACAGATATCACAGAGATACATAGAGAGAGAGAGAAAAGTACATAGGCACACAGAGAAACCACGTCTCTGTGTCGAGGCCTTAAATAGAGAGAGGGAGCGG